GTCACTGAAGAGTGATTCCCAGAAGTGATCTGAGTCAGGCACTGTGCTGAGTCACAAATCCTCCCCTGCTTCCTCCCTGCTTGCAGAAAGTGGTAGTTTTCTTCTGAACTATATTAGCAGAAAAATAATTACCTCCCACACCCCTGGCACTGGCTTAAGTATGAAAATGTGTATTTGTGTGTGTATCAGGAGGCAGAGGAGGGATGGATGCGGTTGAAAGTCCTCTTCTTTCCCTTCTCTTCCTGCTCATTTTCAAGTAGTCATTTGTATGAGACTGTCCCTGCTCATATTTATGATTCAGGCATCCCCACGGGGGAGTCAAAATATAGCCCTGCAAAACCAATGGAAGAATAGACTTGGGATACACTTTCTCTTGAGACCTGGACCACTAAAATGATGAGAACAGGAAACTGCCCTGTCCAGCATACCAGGTCCGATCCAAAATTAAAGACACATAAAAATGTGAGTTAGAGCTGTGTTTGGAAAGGCCCAAATATGAGTTCTGAGACCAACCTAACATTAGTTTCCTTGGGTATGTTCCACAATGCAACAACGCCAAGTGCATTTTAGCAGCTGAGTCTGGTGCACTTTTTTTTTTTGGTGCCATCTTGCAGATCATTGGTTGAAATCCAAAAAAGCTTGTAAGTACACAACGGGGTGTGTAGGTAATCCCATTGCTTTAGGTGCAGACACTTACATGCTTAGAGATAAAGCACATTCTTCAATAACTGCCGGAATCGATGGGACAGCAACCAGCCCCTCTCATCACTGTCTTCCTGAGAAAAGTATAGCATCATATAATAGTTCTGAAACACCTGCAGCACCCCCAACAGTGTATTTCCCATAGCTTTGAGAGAGATCAGTGTTACTTGGTATAAGGTTTTTTCTTCTTTCTTCCTTAGTCTCCCTGCTCCCCAGTTGTATCCTAAACCTTTGGGTGATGCAGTCCTCTAGAGGCTAAAAGGGCTTGACCTGGTATAAAAAGCAATGTTTTTCCCATGTAATAAATATTTAAAATGTTTTATCAGTGTAAATAAATGCTAAATTCTGTAAGCCCGGGGAATGGCACTAGCATGTTTTGCTTGCTGAAACATTTATGGAATCAGTGTCAGCCAACAGAATTGAGCCAAGAGGGGTTTTTTTTAAAGGTAAACTGAAGTGCTTTTAAAATAAATACTACGAGTTGTTTAAGATCTTTAATTATTAACAGAAGAAAAGCCTGGGCTTAAAAACTGCAAACAATCCCTTTCATAGCACTCTCCCTAATCCCTGTGCAGTTATGTCTGTGTCCAGCCTGGAGTGAGCTCCTCAAAGCAGATGCTGTACCTTCACAGATGTCTGGAGAGTGTCTAGCACACGGAGAGAGCTTCCACAAATGAGTAACTACGTTTAGAATGCCAAATATTTGAAACCCATTTATTTTTATATTTGCTTGTCAGGACTTAAGGTCAAGACCCCGTGTTGACGGTTGGCCAAGGATGGCATTGCCAGCCCTGGTAAAGCAACACTGTAAAAATTTGGCTCTGCTGTGACAAGGCAGCTAATGGTATCACCTCCTTGAAATCCAGAGGCCAGCTTTGCAGTCTGATCAGGTCACCACTCTGATTTAATTACGATTATAAGCTGCACAACCCATTGCTAGGAGTGCAAGCCTTTCCTCCACAAGTGAGAAAAAAATGGCAAAGATGTGCAATGGTGTGAACACCCGTGTTGGGTGATACCTACGTGTTGCACCGTTGCAAAGATTAAGAGCATGTATGAGTTGGGTCAGAAAAATCATTCTTTTAGAAGCTGAACTGTCTTTTCTTTCTCTACACAGGGAAAGAGCCTGTAAAAGTGTGTAGAATTCTCACCTTTTGTTAGAAAAAATTTTTGTGGCTGCTTGTAAAGGGATGATTTGCCTCCATTTACTCTGATCAGAAACGCCTGTGATCATCCCCAGACACTGATCTGCACCTCTCAGGTTTCAGAACATAGATTTGATATGGTTTGAGGCATGTGAAGTTTTTTTTTATTAAAAAAGTTTCTCTGTTCCACCTGCCCATGGCTCTTCCTTTAATCCTTTTCTGACTGGGCATTCTGACTTTTCTAGGCAGGATTCCTCATACCATTCCTTGCAACAGGTACTCGTGTTGCAAGTGGCTGCTTAAGTGAGAATAAAGTAATTTACAGGCAGTAGCTGTATTGCAGCAATAAGCATGACAACAATGCAGGGAGTTTGGTGATGTGCATGTATCTCTTACCCTTAATGTATGTATGGAAGGGCATACATTACATTACATCTTCTGAGGACACTTCCCAAGTTGCTGCAAGTATTTTTTTAACTTTTCTCTCTGAATACTTTAATGGTAATGTATTTAAGCTTGCTAATTATTGGAATCATCAAGATTTGAAAACAGGCTGCCCTAATGGAGCACTGCACAGCACACACATCAGTTCATGCTAACAGTATTCAGAACCTCATCTCCTCTTCAAAGCTGGTTTATTATCCTCAAGAAGATTTTCTCTAATTAAGCTGGCTGGAGGTCCTGTACATCTTCTGGTGGTACCTGTTCCCCTTGACACCTTGTCATCTCATGTTTATGGTGCAAGCCTTTGATTTCACAAGTACTGCTTTGTTAACACGAAGGGCATTGATTTGTGCAGATATTATCTTCTCTGGACATCTGTAGTAGCTGAAGCACTTTTATGAAGTGAGTGATAATGAAGCTGTATTTAAAATGAGAGAGCTTTTTTGTTCATCTTTTTGTCTGTTCTCGGTACCCTCTCAAGAGTACCGGGTATGTCCTATGATGCATAATAAATCAATTAATGATAATAATTAAGGGTAAATTACATAAGAGCTGGTATTAGAACTCTTAACCTCGTAATCTTGGCTACATATTGGATTAACAAGACTCCGCTAAAATCACTAAAAAGGGAGGCCTTTATTTGCTTTTGTGTAGATTTGTTTGAAGCTACAAATATTTCAACCTGCAAAGTTTTGGGGTTTTTTCTTCAGGTTTGTAGCCATCTGTAGTCTTTTAACTTTCTTGTATTGTTGACATTTTTTGGAAGTCGATGGGACAGTGTTTTGATTTTCTAGTGAATGTGACATTCCTGACTGATATAAAGAATTGGAGTGATGTTTTCTGTACGTGTTTAGAATTAGTAGACTGAACGATGTGAACATCTAGAGGAAAAGCTTGGCTGCCTCATGTAAGTACAGCAATTTCTTTTTCCTCCAGAGGCATTGCTTACCCAGAGGAGTACCCAGAGGCAACTGAGCAAGCAAAGAGGCCCATTCTTGAACGGGATGTTTTGATCCCACCAGTAATGTACTTCATGTAAGAATCAGTTTGTGAAAACCAGAATGTTTCATGCTGAACATCTCTCCCTTTGGATAGCAGCATGAACCATTAACATATATCTGAACTGACTGTAGAAACCTGAAAACATGTTCTGACTAGAGGGATGTTAGTACCCAGCTCTGGGTTGCCAGCAGGCAGTGAGTTGATCTTGCTGGCTGGGCAGCTGATGCCACCTTTGATGGTTTCTGCTGTGTTCCATCAAGGCTGAGGAGCAAACGCAGTCTCAGCCTTAGCTGTGAATTGACAAGTGGATTGCCTACAAGTGAAAGTGCTTGTCAAGAGATGTGTCATCCTTATAAGAAAGTATTTAAATTAGTTGGCTTTTTTTTTTTTAAAGTAAAAAAAAAAAAATTGAAAATCTCAGATGATAGATTTTCAAAGTTAATAGTTATCACAAACTCTCTTGGCAGATGTATAACAGGCATTTACAGCTCATGAATCACATTTTTCAAAAATCACAGCTGATATCAACTTCTCTGAGGAGATGACAGCATTTGCAGGAGACATTAATGACTTCTGGCTCTCAGTCATTGCAAAATCATGAGCTCGTAATTGTTCTGGTGTGGCTATTTGTAGACTATAGAGTTCCAGAGGTCTCTCAATACTTCCAGCATTAATAACTTGCCAGTGACAGTGGTTGCCATCATTGCTACCAGTGATAACAACTTTAAGACATTTGTAAATGCAAATCCTTACTAAAGGCTTATGAGGCTGGCTTTATTATTCTGGTTTTACAAAATGAGGAGAAGGAGACAGAGAGAAGCACATGAATCTGCAGCTTGAGTCCAGTGCATGTGAGGGTACAGCTGCTTAGTGCTTCAGAAAACTTGGTGGCAAGTCACCTTCCCATTCTGGAAATGTTTGGCTTCCTCATGATTAGGACTTCTAACAGTTTCATGCCTTAACAACAGTCATGTAATAATATTTTATTCATACCTCTTTCTGGACAACTTCTGTTAAAAAGTGATCCCTAATCCTTGGAGCAAAACCAACACTGCTGATTCTGACTCTCCCTCTGTTGAGACTGAAGTAAGGTGAGGGGGATGTGGAGCAGAGGGCGATCCTCAGAAGGCTGGGAGCTCTCACTAAGTGTGGGTTTGGTGGTCCTTCAGCATCTCAGGCTCTGCCTGGGACTTTCTTGACTTCTGCAGGAACCCAGAATCAAAGTAGGGATGTGACTTCAGTTTGTCATCTCTCCCCACGCTCCGGAGTGCAACTCTGTGGCACCCCAGCATTTGCTGTGTGTCTCACAGTTCTTGTCCCACTTCAGTTCTGGTTGTTCTTTGTTTTCCCCATACTTTAGCTCTCCCCAGTACTGTGTGTGGAACACCTTAGGCATGTTTTTCATGAATAGGCAAAACAGCTAATATATTCCCTCCCCAGGGAGGTGGTATTTCGGTGACAGGTAAGTTAATATCTTATCTAAAGTAAGCTTTACTTTAGTCTGTGATCTAGACCAAAATTGTAAATTTATGAAATGCTGGGGAACTTCTGGAGGGAGTTGATCTGTGAATGTACATCTTTACATCATCAAGATAATGAGTTCAGGGGAGGGGGAATGAAATAAAACTGACATACTACTGTGCAATTTATAGCCTCTCTAAATTTTGTTCTCTTGCTGATAAGTGCTTCCTTCTGTTCTCTCTGCAGGTCTCCAGGTGGTTTTAAATTCCATTATCAAGGCCATGGTCCCTTTGTTGCATATTGCCCTGCTGGTGCTGTTTGTCATTATTATCTATGCCATCATTGGACTGGAGTTATTCATGGGGAAGATGCATAAGACCTGCTACCATGTGCAAGGGGGACTGATAGGTAAGGGGAACACGTACACATGTACAAAGATTTTTGGAGGGAGGCTTTTCCCATAAGTAATGGAACATTTGTGCTGTCACAGGAGATGGGTGGCTATTGCTCACTGCCTGTTTGGGGTTACACAGGGGTGGCTCCTCTGTTCTGCTTCTTGGATATGAATCCCCTGTGATGCAGAGAGACTGCAATGGTGACAGTTTAGCTTCCTCATCTTGACCACTCAGCTGCTGGCCTGTCTGTAAAGGCTACATGCAAAGCTATTGATTCCTGCTAAACAGAGCCATGGACTTTTTAATGTGGACCCTTGGCACAACAAGCCAACCTGAGTTCTTTAACAAATCTCCCAGAGGCTCAAGCAACACTAAAATAGGGATAATTTCGTCATTAGCAGACTGAGCTACAGATGACATGGCATCACAGAAATTTAAAACTCATATATTTTATTATTAATCTCATACACAAATACATCTTTGTTTTAAAACAGTATCATTGTAAAGGAATATATAATTCAAAGCTGTACCTTTGTTTTAGTCACAGACCGTGGCTGTGGTTAGAAATGGAGCTAGAAAGAAAACAAAATTATATTAATGAGAAGAAAATTTTTGCATCAAATCCATCAGGAAAGAACTTTCAAATTATTTACAGAAAGAAATATTCCCATTTCAAAGTAGTTCAATTGCATTGTCACTCACTCATCTAACCATCTGCTCTTTTTCATTTGATTTGTTGAACTTGAACAGCATCGATTTCTCATGTGGTGGTGGGTGCTAATGCCTAGGACCCAGAGCAACTCATAACTAAGAAAATATTTTATATTTTACAGCAGGAAATTGTTTCAGAAGTTCTGTATTTTCTGCTTTTATAATGTCGACAGATTTCATTTTCTGGAAATGATGTTAGAAGTATAATGAATTGTCGCTCTGGTTTACATTTTAAAGTGTGCATATCTTTCTCCATTCTGTCTGGAAATATTTACATTATGGCATCTAATTCTAATATTACTGTTTGTGGCATTCTTTAATGATCAGAATATGATCATAACTTTCAGAAAATTAAATTGTTTACCATATAAGATGTGAAACAAACATAATTACCTGCTCCCCTACACATACATACCTGCATCTGTTAAAAATGTAGCCTTAAGATCTGAAATCCATATATTTTTAAAAGAATATTGCAGAAGTTTTTGTGATTATAAAAATGTTTTCTGTGGCATTTTTCATATACAAAAGCATTCAGTTTGGCTTGTTGTATGGGTTCTCAGATCTCTGAAAACATCTGTACAGAATAAGGGATCGATAATCAAGCAACTGCCTTATAGAGTTTCTGAGTGCCACTGGGCTACTGATAAAATGCCACACAGCTTCTAAACTCCAGAAGAGCAGAGCTCCAGATGCTCTCTGCTCTAATTCAGCAGTGGCCCAGTGCCATATCATCTTGTCTCCAGAGCACTGAAGCCTGTGTGCTGCAGGGGCTCAGCCTCCTTCAACAGAATGGCCATCAGTGCTGCACTTCCCTTCCAAGGTTAACCCGGATGCCGGGTGACTGCGGAATGAACACGCTGCCATTATGGTCACAACGTGCAGCCTAATGAAACATAATAGACTTGGTCTAACATTCCCTCTCATGTTGAAAAGAGTGACTTCTTCCTCATAGGAGGGTATGCTTTGAAAAAAAAGTCCATCTCTGTTTTGCCTATAAAATTTGACAGCTTCGCTATTTTTTTTTTACAAAAAGAAAGTGAAGCACAACAGCCAGCAGTCGCTCGTGTATTCCTGAGAAATCTGTCAAACTTGCTGCAAAATGTATTTGGTTAAAATCAGATATCCTTCACGGTGGGTCCAGTGGCAATTCGTTCTCTTCATCTCCTTTTTTCCCCCCCTTCTCTCCTTCAAGATACACCTGCAGAAGACGACCCGTCTCCCTGTGCCCCCCAGTCTGCGCACGGGCGGCAGTGCCAGAACGGCACGGAGTGCAAGGCAGGCTGGGAGGGACCTAAACATGGCATCACGAACTTTGACAATTTTGCTTTTGCCATGCTGACAGTGTTTCAGTGCATCACGATGGAGGGCTGGACAGATGTGCTCTACTGGGTACGTATCCGAAAATGATAAGCTGAAAGTCCTGCTCGTGTGCTTACAGCTATGTGGAAACTTGGGGGCTTTGGCTTTCTTGCTTGCTCTGTACAGTGAAGGCATGGTTGCTAGCATGGAGCTTTAATTAACTCAGCATATTATTAGGTAAAATGGGAAGGTTTATCTGGTGCAATTAAATCAAACATAAATGTTGACTTTCCGTTGATATTTTAATTTTGAAAGAGGCAAGTGGCTTATTGATTTGAAGATTTGAAATGTACCTTTGTTGAGCAGGAAGTCATGTAAAGACCCTCTCTGCAGGAGTGAAATATCTCATACATCTCCAGATTACTGATGTAGAAGTATTTGTGACAGATAACCGTGTACTCTACCTGTGGCATTTGTGTTACAAAGGCACTACACTGATCAACTTGTAGGTTTTATAAGAAAGGCCTCACAAATTCCAGCACTTCTTATGATTATGACTTTAATCATAGAAGAATTTATTCTAATGCTATTAACTATGATACTGGTATCAATCATGATTACATGTTTAGCCAAAACATGATATTATCTTTAATCTAAATGGTGTCCCATCTTGTCCTGTACCTTAATTCTGGGCATCTCAGTTGCTTTAGTTTGTACCTTTTAATTCCTAATATATTGGGAAATTTATTACAATACAATTATACTACAGGAGTTAAAATCATATTTAGCCTTCAGTTGTAAACCATATACAAACGTGTTTCTGGATTCAGATCTTGCCATCAGCTTTTGCAGCAGCAAGCTGTGGTCCAGGAATGTAATTCTCACACAGCCCCATCTCTAAAAGGCTCTCACTAACTTGGAAGACTGGCACATCACGAGATGTGGTTCTCCAAGATGGTAGGATGTGCTACAATGCATGATGCAACTTAACTCAAGACCCAAAGCACACAGAAGGATAATCTGGACTGAGGCAGCTTGCACTGTTAATCAGCATCAGCTTCTCTCTTAAACATGAGTCTGAAGCTGTCTTCTACCCAGCAGTGATTTAGAGTTTACGAGATTTCCCTTTGAAGATTTAACTTATCTGCAATAGATGGTCTCTGTTTGGAACAGCTAGAAGTTGTCTCTTTGTCCTCATAAGTTTAGATTAGAATTGTGACTCTAGCTTCCTTCTAATGCCTGAGATAAAGGGCAGAGATCAAACCACAAGGGGAGTCTGGGTCTCAGAGCACAAATATTGCCTTTACTTGAAAAGAGGGTATAGATTAATAAAATGATGAAGAAGAACAGAAGTCAGAAAAGGAAGAGAGTGAAACTGCTGCACAGCTCAGCTATGGCTATATATAATATACCTGTCTTCTTGTCACACCTAGCTCACATTTCTCCAGCCTGTGTGTGAGTGAGAGAATTTATAGGTAGTACAGGGGAAATAGAAGAGAGTCAAAGGTATCAGATAAACGTAAAAATAGTTTTGGCTGTGTATACCATTTAGAATTGTGAAACCTGTCCACGAGCTATCATCAGTTTCTCCAAAGCCACAAGCTATGAAAGACCATTCCAATTCCCACCCTTTTGGACCCATTTGTCATTTTCATGGCTGGCTATAAATCATGCAGAACTCAGTTATCAGTTATCTATTAACAGGTGCCAAAAGCATAAACTCACTGCCAAGTGATTTTCTAATGTGACTGTGCTGACAGTCTGATTTTTAGGGTGTCCCTGCACCAACCTGGGTTTTAGATGGTATTCAGATAGCTTTTTTAACTGATTTCCTGAGCTGTTCTGTTTTTATTTAGGGACAGTATGATGAAATTAGACCTGCAATTAATACAGATTGATGTTCATTATTTTTAGGGGCATCCATATAGTTAGCCTCTTAGATTATGGCTTTGGTAGAATGCTTGCTTTGGAAACAAAAGAAATAGTTGTTATCATCAGTTCCCAGTTATTCCTGGAAAAGACTACAAAAGATAAGAGTTAGCACTGCAGAAAAAAATTTCAGTAATGGAAGAGGAGGAAATTTAGGTTGTAAAGAAGAGAAACATTACCTAACGCTTAAAGACTTGAAATACAAAGTTTGAGTAAACACCTGAGCTGGCAGACATACTCGGTTATGGGGCTGTAAGCAATCCTGAGAGTACTATTGTCCCATGGGACTTTTGTCTCTTTGTGCTGTGTTGAAGAAGCAGATAGAAGTCAAGTCTGATCAGTGCTTGCCATCTGGTAAAGAAATATCTGAGATGGGATGTGTATTTCCTGCTGCAGAGGGGTCTGTGCTACTCTGGGGGCAGGTGTTGATTGGGCACTTACTACAGGGCACACCTACGAGAAGGACTGTCCTGTTAATATTTATAGGTAGGAACAGTCTCTAAACATTCACACTGTAATTTCATGTAAGTTCAAGCCACACTTATCGCAATTTGAAACCTTTGTAGTCTGTGACTTCTGGATAGCAAAGAACAGAGAAGATGAAACATTTCACTTTCTGAAAGTGACAGGAGAATTTTAGTAAGTGAGGTAGGATACAAGTATCTGTCTTAAAGTCAGTGTGAGCCACTGTTTCCTCAGTGCAGCCTGGCTCGTACACAACTCTCCTCCCCCTCCTTTATCTTTTTGGCCAGAGTGGACTTGACATAGACGACCCACTGGGGAATGCATCTCCACAGGAGTGCAGAGATAGGAGGCTCTTCTCAAGTAGATAACTCTGAAAGATTTGGATCCACAGTGAGGTCATGGAAATTAAAATTTGCTTTATAAGACAATAAATCTGGACAGTTAATTAAGTTAGAAATCCAGACTTAAAGGTCCTTTCTCTCCAACTACCTCCTGAGGTAGAGTTTGTTGTCCATTTGACACTGAAAGTACAGATTAAAGAACAGTATAAGAAAATTTTGTCTGCAAATCAGTTTTGCGAACAAAAAATTTAGGTGATGATTTTCAGAGGTCATTCATTAAACTTAAGGATGTAAGCTAATGAATTAATATTTAAAAGTGCTGAGCATTCAAAGTTCAAGCAGACTGTCAAGTTCTTAGCTCCTCTGCAGTTCAGGGTAGATAACTAGGTTTGAATCTGGGGTCCTGCTGGGTTCAATGGCAAAATTCTCATTAATTTCGAAAGGTCAGGATCTCACTTTTTACTTTGCAAAATCTTGATCATGCTGTGGAGATTTTCCACACCCAGTTAGAATACAACACGAGGACTCACAGATGCCTAATCGGGTCCTTGGTATCTGTTGAGATAGTCTTCCAAGGGCATATATGTGGATGTGGGGAGTTTTCTTTGCTCCCTTCTTAAATCTGAAAATATGTGCCTGACCTAAAATTCAGCAGAACAACAGATAAAACTCTGGGCTGAATTACTTGGCTGGAAGTGTTTAAATGATGGAGCAATACCCTTGCTTTGAACTTTTCTATAAGTGCTTTTCAATTATAACTTCTTATTTCCCAAAAAGTAATTTTTGAAGGATACCTAGATCTCTGCATTCCTCTCAGTGGGAATGGAGGGAGCTTAGAACCTTTTTTGCATGTTACCCTGAAAAATACAGTGGTCATTTCATGAAACCTATGTCTGTCATTTGCCACACTTTGCAAGGTTAAACCTGCCTGTTTGAAAGTTAGAAAGCTGTATGACCCTCCACAAGCCCTGGACTCCTAATCCACTTAATAACTCTTCAAATTTTTATCTTCAGTTTCCTGCTTCTTTGTTCATGCTTCCCTGTGTAGGTTTTTCACCTATATAGTGAAACCTGTCTCCTCTCCCATGGAGTAGTAGTGTTTCCCAGCTTGTGATCCACATCTTCACAAAAAGATAATCAGAGACAGGAAAGCAATAAACTTTTATTCCCTAGAAGGACTTGACATCACTAAGATCAATACACTTCCAATCTCCTCTCTCACTTAGCAGATAAGACTTGTGAGTGGATTGTTTTCTTTTGAAATGTGAAAGAAAAATGCTAGGGAAAACAATTTGACACTGCTATCATGTAAGACAGGATAATTACTTAAAAGGAGCCAAATTTTTAATGTGAAATAACTATATTGGACAGGATGAAAATCCCTGCTAAACAACCTTGTTGACTCTTCACTGAAGAATTGATCTTTGTTAAAGGGAGTGTTAAGTGTTTGTAGAAACACATTTCCTACACTGCCTCAGTCTTACCAGGTTTACTTATGTCCCAGTATAAATGCCAGGCAGCTTTGTCTCATGTGCAGTCAGTTCACAGAATCATTTGAGTAGACAGGCACCTCTTATGCCACATTATAATTTTTCATATGCATTGTAGAAGGATTGAGGTTATTACTCTCAAAACTCTCCTTAATGTATGATCAGCCAGCATTAGCAGCTTGCTTGGTGCAGGCACCAAGGCCCGTTTCTGAAGACCCCTCAGTCTTTGAAACTTCCTGCAGCAGATGCAAATCCAAATGTTACAAATTAAGTCATTTAGTACTTTGTGATCAGTCTCTGCTGCAGTCCCTTATTTTGTATTGTCTTGTTGACTAAGGAGGAAAATTAATTCCTGAGCAGTTTATAACATCCTGTTTAAGTATTTTTAGGCATTTGTCGTCTTCCCTTAATCTTTTTCTAATCTGAACAGATTCAGTTCTTTCAACCTTCCCTAATAGGGCTTCTTTTTAATTATTTTTAATCAGTTTGTTATTGTCCTTCAGGGGAAGCTTCGCTTCTGAATTAAATACAATTCGGACAGTGCCCTGCCTCTAGAAAGGTTTTCATCTTTGTGTGAAATGTGCTCTCTGCAGCTGGAGCCTTGTGACACTGCATGCAAATCTGCCCACTGCAGCCTCAGTTTTACGTGCCTGGTGTCTCCACTCCCCTGCATCTAAGCAGTTGTACCTATAAATGAAAACAGAGCACAGAGAAACTTCAAAACACAATCGTATGTTGTTGCACTGGGCAGTTCCTACTGCTGGGTAGTGGAGAACCTGGTCCCGAGTTTTTCTGCTTGCCCATTACAGCTTGATTTCTAGGATCCTGTAATTTTACTTGATCTGCTTGAAGATTATTAATAATG